TCCAAAACCATGGACATACAATTTCTCTCAAAATTTGTCACATTAGATTTAGAAAATATATGGTCAATACAATTAGCTACATTACCATGCATTCTCGTATTTTTATTTATCATAGATATGAAGTTGTGTTCGCTCAAGAGATTTACCTAATTTTGGGTGTTATTATTCAACTCATTCAACCTCAAATATATATCGCCTTCCAGAATATGAGAAAAGAGTTTGGAATTGTTTGTTTGTTGTAGGTATTTTTGAAGATTTTCTATGAAAACTTCCTCACTGGCTGATGGCGACCTATATACTGAAGTAATAATAACTTTTTTGACTTGTTCAGAAATATTTGAATTTGTATTGCTTTACAGTAACCAATATTTATGATTTCATATACGTAGTCAAAGTTCTTCTATTAAATGGCATATTTTGGAAGCTATAATTAAATCAAAATATTATTCTAAATATTATCTTAGATTGTACCCCGAACGCTAGCAAAACTGAGCAGATAATTAGGTACGTTTCTTTAAAACAGACCGACGACAATCCAAGAACTTCAGAAATTGTAATAAATTAGTTTTTTTAGGATTCATACCTATCGAAAAATGTATAGGCCTCAAACTGACAGAGATTATCCTTAGAACAATTATCAGAACTTGGATTGTCTCTAGAGAACTTAAGAGGCAAGGGTACCATAATGGATCCAATATGAAAGGTATCCGAAGTGGGGTCCAAGCCAGGATAAAGAACATAAATCCACGGGCATTTTATGTTCCTTGCAGTAGTCATTCTTTAAACGATGGTAAACGATATTGCCAAAGTCTTCACTGGAAGCTACACATTTTTTTAATATCGTGCAAAAATTATATGTTTTCTTTTCCTCTTCAACGTTGAGATGGTCAATTCTTTTGATGAATGTAAAAGGTTTAACACTGAAACCACTTAGTGACACAAGATGGGAAAGTTGAATTGAAGCATTAAAACCCCTGAGACATCAAATAGGGCAAGTTTACGATGCATTACTGGCATGGATACCTCTGCACGAGACGAAGCTTCGGGTCTGTTGAATCAAATCAAACAGTTTAAATTCTTATGCTGTGTAATAATTTGGTATGAAACTTTAAATCGGATAAATCCTGTCAGTAAATTAATGTAAAGTAAAGATTTTGAGTTACTTTCAGTAATTATATTAATAAAAAATACTAAAGATTTTTTTGAAAAATCATGGTCAGATGAGTACCTACTTTAACCAAGTTCTTGAAGATTCCATAGCCTTAGCTACTGAAATTGATACCAAGATCTTTGATTTTGAAAATATCCGTCAACATCGTGTTCGTTCGAAAAAAAGGCAGTTTGACTATGAGGGTCACGATGAACCAATCATCAATCCGCGTCAAAAATATAAAATCGAAGTGTTTTATCGCATTATAGATACAGCTATGAACACCTTGGAGTTAAGGCTGTCCCAAATTAATAAACATAGTAAATATTATGCTTTTTGTATAACGTATATGCCATAAGAGAAATGCCAAAAGATTAATTGTTAAGCAATTGTAACGACCTCCAGACTATTTTAACTCATGAGAATTCATATGATATAAATGCATTAGAACTTTCAGAGGAGTTATCAGTCCTTAGTACGATTTGTCTTTTTATAGGTTAAAATTACAGCATCTATGGAATAACGCATGGGTAAAAGGCGGCAAATATTATTTTCCCCGGAGCGGCGAAATAGCTGGATCGGGCGCTGCCTGGAAACGAATATAATCTGAAGGAAAACAAGGATGGAAACAAAAATGCAACTAGAAGCCACCAGCAAGGACCAACAGGCGCATTTGTGGCTTCGGTCAGAAGACCTCGTGTTTAAATCAGACGACTTGGCTGACAAGCATCCCATGACTGAGGAGTGTCTCGCAGGTGTAGTGCTATAAGGTGATCAATGGATTTGCTCAGGGTGGTAACCGTCGAATAGATTTAATTCTTTAATGCACTGATCATAAACTTGACCCTACATTATTAAATGATCCAAGAATTCATTATTATATATTATTCACCCATATTTACGTGTATTTACTTACTTGCGAGTACGAGTATACTGTATTTTTGAGTTCAAGTAGGACCACACTGTTTTTTGTTTGGAAACTTAACTGTTTATAGATTCCCTCCTTAATACCGTCTGAAAGTAGGCAACCCACACTACTTGCCGCCCCCCAAGACGTTTTGCTGGATCCGCTCCTGCCTATGATTCGTGAAAACTGCATACAACTGTTTCAATTCCCGTTTCAGCTACTCCGTTTACAAACAACGACAATTACGCGAATCCAAATACCCCTGGTTCTGTACCGAGTAGGATGCAAATTAATATCAACCGAGTTGCGACTTTAATGGAAAAATTCCGCCGATCGGCGAGGTGCGGCGATCCTCCAATTTTCCTATAAAGGATCCCTGGTACTTTACATGCCATCCGCTGGAGCGATAGTTGGAAAATTGCGGGAAAATTCGGCGTCACGGCAGTAGGGTGGTTGATTTATGGCATGCCCACTTTTCCCGCCGAGCGGCGCATCACGTGCGCCCTCTGGTGATAAATGCATGACGTGTCGCTGTAGGAACATTGGGAAGGTGTACTATCAGATCAAGGGGATATAACGACCATAGAGATCTTCGAAAAATGAAGTCGGACACATAGAAAAAAGTTTCCAAAATAAGTGACTAAGAATGTATGTAAATTCGGAGTATTTCTGAAAACAAAAAACCGTTTTTTCCTGAAATTGCGTTTTTGTTCACTTTATTTTAGGTGTGAGTTCAAAATAAATTGCACATTAACATTGCAACTTTTGCTCCTCTGCATGGTAGCACTATTGTAATTCCAAACTGGCATTTAGTTTCTCGTCCTCCGTCTTCAACCTTTTTATTATGGGCGACATATTGCTTTTTTGCGCAGTATTCCATTTTGATTGCAAAACTGTATAATATGTCATTGGAGACCTATGACATGATTGCTTGATTCCATTACCAATCAAACATTGCTGCATCGTTATTTTTGTAACCACGGATCCTCCGTATGTGCAACATCAGTCGTTGATTATCACTGATAAGCACAGGATTTGTGACATTACAATTTTTGGGTGTATCTCATGTATTTTGAGACCCTTAAATCAAATCTAAAATCTATCTATCACCCACAGATATTTGGGTGCTTTTACTCCCCTTGTATTGAAAGCATACGAACTTTATTCTGGAACTAAAGTTGGCGACAAGATAAACTATGGGCCCCTCATATAGGCTGTAAGACTTGTGTAACGTTCTTAACAGGTTGGTTAAGAGGCGACAATCGTAACATCCCATCTGCGGTAACAATGGTTTGGAGAGAACCGAGGGACTATACTACTGAGACTTCTTTTTTTTGGCCTTACAAATATTGTATATAGTAATGCTTATTTTTTCCAGGAAAATTTAGGTGCGGTATTAGACATATGAATTACTATACTATCAATCCCTGTCATGCTATGGGCATTATTAAAATCAGAATTAGGAACAGCTTACCTATACCCAGCTTATGATAATGATGCTATTCGCTCATGCAAAAATCCGAAATCGTGTGCATATCAAAAAATAAAATTGATGATTGAATTCAAAAGACGAAACCCTATTTTGGAGTTCTTATTATTCCACCCTGTGGCATAAAAAGTGGCAATGTGCAATTCAATTTAGGAATCCCATCTCAGACAAGCTCAGGAAAAATGTCAGAACTATTTCGTTTTCCTTTCGTTTATCACGGGAAATACCCTGAATTACAAAACTCCCCAAAGTCCGGTTTTTCAATTTGAAGTTTAATTGTGATTTTTAAGCCAACCGATATGACATTGCAAATTGTGGGAGCAATACAGACAGTAGACCAGTCTTTAGTTGGAGTCTTTAATAGTAAAAGCAATATTCGTATCCATAGAACCGTGCCTTTGAAATAGTTTGTTAAAGATCAACTCTATGTGCTTAAATAAATGCTGCTATTGAAACAAGAGAACTTGGATTTAGCAATCTAGACCATTGGATTCGATATCCGGTCCCTACTGCGGTGTCGTTCCTTTCCTTTGTAACCTTGATTAACACCGACGCACAGTATAGAATAACCAAGAACCCGCCAAAAAGTAAAGAAATTAAGCATTGAAAATCGATGAAATGCATCATGTATTTGAAAGTTAGTATTTGGAATAATTTTTTGACCATGCTATTATGATAGATCATCAAACTTCGTGATAATTAATTTTTTATAACGTTTTTGTGGTGAGATCCGTGTCCATTACTTCTCTGTCAAGTTTTCTGGTACTATTATTTAGAAGGGTTCTTAACAAGGCCCTGTCACTTGTCTCCATTGGGGCTAATTATGTTTGAAAAAATTGAGGTAATGCCAAATAATACCTAGAATCAGATTTTGGTAACATTCGCAAACTTTTCACAAATATGGCCTTAATCAATTCAAAGTTTTCAACTATAACCATATCACACTTTCTTGTTTGTTATGTTTCAAATATAATATTTCTGTGTTTTTTAAAGAGTCAATCTTATTCGACTATCACCATAATACAGGGTGACGCAGAGGAAACGCATGATTTTTACACAAGCATAACATTTTTTATGTTTAAGATAATTTTGTTTCAACCACAGCTAAATAAAGTAATAATAGTGCACTTTTATATTAATTATGATAAATTATGTCTTTCAAGTGTCGCCTCTCTTCGCGCTCGCACATCTCCAACCGCTCTTGAAAGTTATGCATTACACGTAGGATCATTTCTCGTGGTATTCATGCGAGTTCTTGACGAATAGCAATTTTCAGTTCCTGTAACGTACGAAGTTTGTGAGGGTACACTTTAGACTTAAGGTAACCCCACAAAAAGAAGTCACATGCGGACAAATCTGGGGAGCGTGGAGGTCAAGGAACAACGCCGAAACTGGAAATCACGTTAAAAAATTGCTCGACACGATGCTCAGTTGTCCACGGTGCCACAGCTAAGAGCTCGCCTCATTGGGACGCCATGGCGACGTCGCCGGCGACGCAGGCCTGGCTACTTGTGGCATCCGAGGGTCGCCAAGGCGAGTAGCCATGGCATCTCGACAGTCAGTTCGTGCCATCTCTCAAGAATGGACGCAGAAGAAATTGCACTTCTTTGTTATATACGTCGCAGAAAAATGAAAAAAGAAAAGAAAAAAAAGAAACTATGGGTTAATCCTTTTATATCTGATCGAAACCGAAGTGGCATTTTTTTTAAACTGTATGGTGATTTACGAAAATCTCCTGAAAAGTTTTTCAATTACACAAGAATGTCAATAGCATCTTTTGACGAATTATTAAACTTATGTAGAAACGATTTAACTAAACAGGATACGATATTTAGAAAATCGATTAGTGCGGCAGAAAAACTATTTGTGTCATTGAGGTAAGCAGTTTTTTATTCTAATTTTCAAGAATGAAGCATTTAAAGTTAATCATATACATCTAAAATGGAGGAATCTTCTGAAACATTTGGCATATTTGACGGTGGTGCACTAAACGGTTCACTAGATAAATACTCAGTGCTGTTTATCATGGGTTGGGTTTCTCTAGGAACAGTAGAATATCCAGGGTGATAACTTTGTGACGACGACGATTCTGTTTGTGACCAGTAGTTTTGACGGTATAATGTACTATCATCAATGTTGAGCACATGGCGGGTTGCTTCATCAAAAATTGACATTATTTTCATTTTAGTTGCCATTTTTTTTTGAGGAGGCACGTTTTTTAAGGTGCTAACTAAAGACAGCATGAATAACCTGTCGTCATCTTGATTCTCAACCTCATATTGTTCTCTACTTTTGATGGATTTGTTAAGGGCTTCTAAAAATTTGTCATCTTCAGGTGCATTATTCTTTTTGGTTTTCATTCTTTTCGGACAACTTAAAGCTTGACTGCCTTGTTGCAAGTCTTGTTCAGTATCAGGAATTGTAGCTTCAACATCAGGATCTGACTCTTTTGATTTTTCTTCGACCTCAGACTCTCTTAACGCGACCACCTTCTGGAGAAAAAGCAGTTGCTTAAAAAATATATATTCGCTCTTACGTGGTCCACGACCAGACCCAGACTTCAAAGATTTTTGCCGGTTCAGCTCTCGTGTGAAGCAACCACGAATACTTTTCCACCTTTTTTGCAATGTATCAGCTGAAAAAAATGAATAAGTTTAGTATATCCATTCATCAATCAATCAGTCAGCCTATTGCAGTCCAATAATGATGTTATATTTTCTTTTAGGTATTTTGCGTCAGGATGTTCACTCATGGAACTTTACTACAACTACAGACTCGGTCATACAACAATTTGCACAATAATTAGAGAAGTATGTAGCGTTATATGTCAATATTAGGAACAGTTTATAGGTCTTCCAAAGACAGAAAATGATTGGGAAAAAGTTGCAAGAGGATTTGAAACAATCGCAAACTTCCCTCATTGCATCGGCGCCATTGACGGGAAACACATGAGAGTAATAAAACCGATGCATACTGGATCACTATATTTCAACTACAAGCATTATTTTTCAATTGTACTACTTGCTCTGTGTGACGCTAATTACAATTTTCTTTATATAGACGTTGGAGCGTATGGAAAAAGCAGCGATTCAGCAATTTATAAAGATAGTGCTTTATATAATAATCTCATTAACCAATCTTTACCTGTTCCTGCGGCAAACCCATTGACAGAAAACGGTGACAATGTTCCATACGTAATAGTGGGAGATGAAGCTTTTGCGTTACATGGAAACCTCGTGAGACCATATGGAGGATACAATCTTAGTTACAAGCAAAAAATATTCAACTACCGATTATCAAGAGCACGCCGATATATCGAATGTACATTTGGGATTTTATCTAACAAGTGGAGGATTTTTCACAAGCCCATGAATGTACATATAGACTTGGCAAAAGCGATTGTAAGGACATGTTGCATATTGCACAATTTTGTACGTTCAAGAGATGGCTATTCTTACGAAGATACTCTAACGGTAACAGGACTTGAACCAGGTACAAGTCGAAATCGCGATAGAGGAGGAAGAACGGCACTCACAGTTAGAGACAAATTAGCAGATTATTTTGTTACTGAAAATCCATTACCATGGCAAGACAAGTATGTATAAATGAAAGTTAATAAATGTACCGACATTTACTCACCTAGTTGTTTTTTTTCTTGGTTTGTCATTTCGTCTTTTTCTTTAAATATGTTTACTATTTCGTCCCAACCTTTAATTTTCAAGTTACGATCGCAATAATCATTTGTTGAACTATCCCATAAGCAAGGCCGGTTTTGAATTTCTATTATAAATTTTTCAGTATCGAAACTCATTTTTCACATCAACTATCAACTACTATTCCGAGCGAGCGTCCAAAGTGGCGGCTGACTGGCGACTGAGTGAGCGAGGTACAGCTAACATGTGTACAATATGATGGCAACGACGCCACGGCGCCAGAGTAGCCAGTCGCCACGTAGGCAGCTGTAGTTTGTGGCCACGCTTCCATCTTGGCGACGTCGCCACACCGTCGCCAAGTGAGTTAGGTACCATACATTCCAATATGAACTGTTTGGATACGTAACCGGCGACGTCGCCATGGCGTCCCAATGAGGCAGAGCTCTAAGACTGCATTGCCTGTGTTCTCTGCTGGCGGTGAGGCAAGGTCAACCCACCTCTTTTTGCGAAATAATATTCACTCAGAAAACATGGGTTTGCTCTGCGACACCCTGTATTATAAAGATCCTATCTTCTATCAAACATCATAATATCAACTTATTTCAAGGTCATATATATATATATATATATACACCTTGGGAAAAAACATTATTATACATTATGATGAGGAAGAGAGATGGAAATATACAAAAGTATGTAGGTGCGTGAAAGACACTCGATTGTAGGATCCTATGTGGCAGCGTCTGAGTGTGACGGACAACGGGGTAAAGTAGAAGAGTGATAAAAGAGAGAGATGGCAGAACGGGCGCTGGCGCCTACCGCTTAGACGGATGCGCTCAACAAATGCGATTTGTTTCTCCCATTCGCAGAGTTGCCGATACCAATATGCCATATTTCTAAGAATTCTAAGTCTACCCAAATTTCGGGAAAAATAGCTGCGGATTCCACATAAAAGTATTCCAAAAATGAAAAAAGTTCAAACTATTAAAATTGTATTAATGTTTCATGGTTCTAATCATATTTTTCATGTTTGTATATTGTTGTATAAATGATTTTGTAATCCCTATTCTTGTTGCCAGTAGAGATACAACAGTATTGAGAGAAATCATGGACCGCTAGATAGGGCTACAACTACCATATGACTATCAAATAGTAGTGATAAACAGGGTTTGTTTATAGCACAGTTGCCTGGTGTGGCGAATTTGCGCCATAGGGGCGATTTTTACAACTTTGAAGGACAACTATAACGGTTACTATGGTGCCCGGTATTCGGGAATCTGGCAATACCTGATGATTCCTAACGTTTATTACGCCAGATTGTTTGCTGACTTGCGCAGTACAACATAACAATCAACGTGACTGAGCACCTGATAACCCTGGTTTAAGGTGTTATATTTAAAGAGCTTGGGGCAGTTAGGTATCTAGGTCACATTTTTTAATGTATTTCGAGAAATCCGTAATGTTGAGTAAATACTAGATCACGTTTCTTGCTTAGTTTGCTGAAAATTCTACAATAGACGTACATTTTGAGAAACAGAGATTTGGTGACGACAAAATCGTAAAAATATAACGCATTTTCGTAAAATAATTTCTTTGTTGAAAAGACTGTGGCTTGATGACCCATTGAACGAGTATAGTGCCCCGCTCCGCTTTGAATATTCGAAACACTATACTCCAACACCATTCGGCTTCAATGTTATCTTTATGAAGTTCTAACGTCTAGGCCATGCTGATTAAAAGCTTGAATGAATCAACACTTAACTGTAAATTCCCCACAATTCGGGAAGCTCTACTCAAATTGGCAACACAGCGTATCTGCCTATTATTCTCATTCGTGATACAGGTCTGCGGTTAACGGTAGGAAATATGTACGAATAGCGATGAAAGTAGACGAGCCGATGCGCTGTTGCCAAGAAATGATTTCCCATGTATAACAATGGTTTTTCCTAAGGTGTATATATATGACCTTTATATATATATATATATATATTTAAAATCAGCGACCTCAGAAGCCCTTCTGCACCAAATTTCGTGAGGATGCTTCAGCAGTTATATTTTTTGCCAGCTTTTGGGTGTCCTAGGCTGCTGGACGACGGTATATTTTGCAATTGGGGGCATCGGAAACAAAAGGAATGATGAACCAATCGAAGGAATCGGTTCCGAGACCGGAATCGAGGCCATGAAGTCGAATCACTACAAGGAACGGTTCGACCTAGCTTTATCCGGTAGATACAGGGTCTGGCAGAGAGGATGGACGGTTTTAAAACAATCATAAAATAGTTAACTTTTACTCGAAAACAAATTTATTGATGGAATCAGGTTCACAAGGAAATAGCATTTGAGACAGTCAGTTGAGAAAATCACATCAGGCATGTTGCAGTTGATGCAGTGCTGGAGGCGTTCTTGGAAGTTACTACGCGTAGACTTCCACACGAATTTCGCCCTTCAATTCGTCCAGAGTTCGGGGCTTGTTCGCGTATACTTTAACCTTGAGGTGTCCCCATAAGAAAAAATCGCATATGGATGAATCTGGGAACCGAGGAGGCCAATGAACATCGCCAAACCTGGAAATAAGGCGACCAGGGATGATCGGGCTGTGTGGGCGATCGCCCCATCCTGCTGGAACCACACACGTCGGATGGGAACACATCGCCGTCGTAATTCAGGGAGAAAGAAGTTGGTGATCATGTCGACGTAGCGCTCTGAGTTCACGGTAACATCACGACCATTACTGTCTTCGATAAGTAAGGGCCAATGATGCAAGTTTGCGATACAGCGCACCAAACCGTTACTTTTGGGCTGTGCAGCGGTCTTTCGTGTAACTGTTGCGGATTTTCATTAGCCCAATAACGACAATTCTGCTGGTTAACCATGCTGTTTAGGTGAAAGTGGGCTTCGTCACTCATAGGCGAAAACGCGGTGCTTCACCGTCCAAGGCTCCATAACGACAACTGGTAAAATAATGCTAGGATCTCACGAGTCAAACGGCACCCTTCCCACCTCTCTCGTAGACGGTGGCGGAGAGTACTACCCATCCCAAAAACGTCCGTCCTACCTGCCGCAGAATACATGGTACGATAATTTCTTGTTTAATATGAATTATTGCTCCACTTACAAATAGCTTTGATGCCAGGCAACAAAGAAAATAAATAAAAAACAACATTCAGTTGATATATCTTTTTTATTTTCACGATTTTTTGCATTTATGTGAACGTTTCTGATGCGCGCGCAACTGCCAGCTATAATAAAACTCCTAAGGCATATTTTGTGACATAGTGAATTCTGTAGGAATCTACGAAATGGCTTTTTTGATATTCCTTTTCTAACACACTGTACTTACTTCAACTTGAAAATAATTAATAGATAAATAGTTTTTTATTGTTTTATAAATCTATTGAGTGGCGCCAGCTTGGCCTCATTACGTATGTAATAAAAGGCTACATAGCTTCCATATGAAATGTTTTCCCTAAAAACCTCATGAAATAAGGGCAGAAAACTATTTTTGGCTATATTTGACCAATATTTAGGATAAAACGCAATCAATGGGGTGTTACATTTTAATGCATCCGAATAATGTTCCTGTCTCTTTTTTCCAAATAGTCACCTCGTTCCTTTAATTTGGCACCTGGAAACTTAATAAGATCGTTGATTGGAGTTCTGTAGCATATTCCCTGAGCGGCTGTGACAGCCATGTTGAGCTTTGAAAATCCTGGCATTATAGTCTGTCTGAGAACCAGAACTACCTGCCTCCTCCAGTATTCTGCTGAGCTCTTGATTTCCACTCCTCTCCCTAAAGGAGGTGGCAAAAACAACTTGAAAACTTATCCCTATAAAGAAACAATGGCTTCATTGCCATTTTTAATATAGTCCTACCAACAACTTCGAACACTATATGCGCAGCTGCTGGCTTAGTTGATCTCTGAACCACATAACTATTTTGGATGACTCTGCATGATGTTCAACATATAAAGTCCTGAAGTAAATCTACGTCTTCCAAATCGAATACCATCCAATCCTGTCGTTCAGCTGAACAATCATCCGATATTTATTTAGAAGTGATTTCGGTAGGAATGCCCCGAGTTTATTCGACGCTTAAATTAAACGTCCGATTGGTAGAAAAATGGTAGCGATCCAAAGAAAGAATCGCCCTCTTTCTGTATCGAAGACGTTATCGATACTAGCTGCCTCCTTTGGCTATAATTTATAGTCGGAAGAGGTGTCTCTCCTTGACTGGTAAGCGTTTTCCAACGAGGGTTTATCTGCATAAAATGGAAATGCGCACAACCAAATCAAAAGCCGTAAATCACGGGGTATTTTGGAGAAAAGAAAAATGCTAAATATATTACAAAATGAAAGTTTATTAGGATAGTATTGAAAGAAAAGCCAGTTAGGAGTAGAATTTTTGTATGCCACAGCAGCCGTGTAGGTAGAAGCCTAAACACCGCGGTACCGCTACTGCCATAAGGAGATTAAAGAAGCTTTGTAAGTTTGATTTTTCAACTGCCTAAGGTTAGTAGAGCTGGAAAAACCTCATCAGGTGGATTATTTCACAATCTGTATACCACAGGGAAAAAGGAGCGGTCGATTCGGGCAGTTGGATGTACGAATTTCGACACGATTAGATTGGAAGGCAGACGGGTATGTTTGGCAGGCATCATGGAGGAGAGCTCTCAGGAGCAAAGCCCGTTGACGTAGCGGTAGAAGAGAGCTAGACCACCGAAGGCCCGTCAGTGCGAAATGGTCATAGATCAGTCGGACAGCATCGAACATGGATTAGCAGCATTTCAAACATGTGAGCAGTACCCGAGGCTGGGTGTGATCTGGGTCTTGTACAGAGTGAGCAGGTTATCTAGATAGAAGTACTTCTCAGCCCTTAACAAGCATCTTAGCTGACTGACGGGATGTGTTCGTGCCTGACCAAGTCCTCGGTAATCTGGACTTCGACAAGTCGAAGTGTTAGTCAAAGTACAAAACTGTGTTTTGGAAGCATTAAACTGTATCAAGTTGTTACGTCTCCAAGTAGTGATAACCTCCACGTCTTTCGACAGAGAGGAAGTCGCTGCCTCTCTTTTCTCCATCTCACCGGCAGATATCGGCTTGTCACTCTGAATTCCTTCATGTAGAGTGCTGTCATCAGAAAAACTGTGGATCAGATCAAACGTGCCGAAAAGGAGGTCCTTGATATATAAGCAGAACAATGTCGGAGTCAAGATTG